CTTTTACCAATGCTTCATTCACCATTTGTTGGTTTCTGAATCTCTTTGAATCCTTAGCCTTACTATTACACTTTGCAGCATGATATGTCTTTGGTTTAATCAAATACTATCTTTAATTTCCCTAATATGCCAGCGAGAAATCTTTCTGACTCAGAATTTTCAATAAAAATGCATTATTTTATTGATAATGTTTGGAATCCTTTTTTCTCCTCGACTATTTACTGTTCTACCTTTCAGTCTATTCAGCCAGTCAACCTCTGCTGATTCCCTCTTCAGACCTATGTAGGTCTTGTTTAAAGTTCACATTTTGGCTTTATTTTATCACATTGTTTTACTTAATATAGAATTCAATTGTATTACTATCACATTTTCCCATAGGTTATTTTTATTATGAGATTACTAATTAACCATGCCTCATGACACAATCCCAAATCTAAAATAAATTTGTCCCTTTTTTGATTTGTTCCCCAAATGATTGTCCTACAGGCACGTTGCAAAAGCATTCTGCAAACTAATCTTCCAGGCTATCTTTGCCAATTTGATTTGTTAAGTCTATATAAAAATTATAGCTCTCCTGAGATTATTGCATTGCCTTTGTTATAAACTCCAATTAATTTTAAATTATTGCCCTTGTCAATGGTAAAACTACTATTAAGGAGCTGTACTGACATCAATGTTTCTTACCCTTTTTATTCCTAATCAGTTAATAGCTACCCTAATTTTATTGGATGAGCCAAGATCCTTTTAATACTGTGTACTATGTTGTCCTTTATAATAATGGCTATTTCTCCTTTGCCTGTCTTTTCAAAACGATGTGTGCCTGGAACATTAATTTCCCAACCTTGGTCACCTTGCAACCATGTATTAGTCATGGTGATTATGTCAAACCATTTACCTACACTTGTTCAGCTAGCCCACTTGTCATAATCACTTCATGCATTCAGATGAAGAGCTTTCACTAGTTACCAGCTGCCATCCTGAAAAAGGCCCCTTTATTCCTACTCTATGCTGTCTGCTAGTCAGCCAATCCCCTATTCATACCAGTACCTTGCCCCAACACCATGGACTCTTCTCTTACTTAGCAGCTTCCTGTACAGCACCTTGTCAAGGCCTTCTAAAAATCCAAATAGATCATGTCCATTGGCTCTCCTTTGTCTAACTTGCCTGTAACTTCCTGAAAGAATTCTAACAGATTTGTCACATGTGACCTTTCCTTGATGAAGATTATCTGTTTTAAATTATCTGTAATGAAGCCAATTTCCACTTTCAGGTAACTGGCTCAAAACACATCCTTAGCTGACATTTGATTGTTCTTTTAGCCAGTAAATGTTAGTAATTCATTTGTGTAAAGAATCACAAAGACATAATGTTTCTTACCATTCTGTAACCGTACAGTGATGGGGTAATAAAGCATAGCACTAGTTTGAATGTTCAATCTCAACATTTCCTGAACTCCAGTTTATACAGGGACAATATAGTACAGATTAAGATTGTTAAATCTATCTATTGACATTTTAGTATGGAGGCTGAATCACTGGATAACTTGTGTACACCTTCAGACCACTGCTGCTTTGTCACATTGCAGCAGTGATTACATAGCAAAAATTAATTATTCATTGGAATTTAGAAGAATAAGTAGTGATCTTACTGAAACGTTCTGAGGAAGCTTGATAGGGTAGACATTGAGAAAATATTTCCACTAGTGGGAGAGTCTTGAACTAAGTTGCAAAATAAGGGACACTGATTTAAAACTGAAATAAGAAAGAGTTTATTCTCCAAAAAAAAAAGTGAAAGTCTGGAATTCTCTATCCCAAAGGGTTATGGAGGCTATATACCTGAGATAGATTTATTTGAAATAGAAGAGTTGAGGACTACGAGGAACTGGCATGAAAACAAGCTGAGATCTGTGGCATATTAGCCATGATCTTATGGAATGGTAGGGCAGGCTTGTGGGACTAAATGGCCTGGTTCTGTTCCTATTTCTTATTATGTTCTCTGTTCTTAGGTGCGAGGAGGAATTTGTTTGCAGTTCCTCTCTTTTGAGTAGTTTGAGTTTGATACAAATGAATGTTATAAACTTAAGAAAAGGAAATTTAACAATAAGAGAAAGATTGCTGAATAAAAAAGAGAAATGCAATGAATTAGCATAGAAGAATTGTTCCAAAGCATTTCACAGTAAAAAATGTATTTTTGAAGTGCATTCCCTGTGGCAATTTTAGGAAATGTGGCAACCAACTTAGCACAGAGCTGAATCTCACAAGCAGCAACAGATAATAACTGTATTTTGATATTGGGTGAGAAATAAATTTTGGTCAGGATACCGTGAAAATGTTTCCTAAACTTTTATTAATTTATGGGATGTGAATGATGCTGCCTCAGCCAGAATTAATTGTCCATCCCTTATTTCTCTGGAGAAGATGGTGGTAAGCTGCCTTCTTTAAACTGCTGCAGTCCAAGGAGGTGTTGGAACACCCAAAGTGATATTACTGAGGGAGTTTGACTCAGTCACACTCAAGGAATGACAAAAGTAGTTACAAGTCAGGAAGGTATATGACTTGGAGAGGAACTTGAAGGTGCTGGTGTTCCCATTATATCTGCTACTTTTACATAGTAGAGGCCATGAGTTTGGTAGGTGGTGTTGGAGGAGCCTTTTGATTTACTTCCAGAATGAGTGATATTTTAGATGGTGCCCCAATGCTTTGATGGAGAAGGGCATGAACGTTGAAGATGGTGGATGGGGTGACAGTCAGGTGGGCTGCTTTTTGCTGGATGGTATTGAGCTTCTCAAATATTGTTGGAGCTGCAGGTGCGGGGTGTTAATTCTCAATTCTGATTTGTGCCTTGTCCACCATCAATAATCATGCTTTGAATGGTATCTTAGAATCCTTTATGTCTCCCTATTAGGCAGGAATGGGCCTTGGTATGATGTCTCAGCTGAATGATAGCACATTTGACATTTAGGAGTTCCTCAATTGAACTAAAGCTGTCAACCTAAATGATGATATATGCTTGTGATTCTGGAGTGAAACTTGAATGCATAACCTACTGACTCAGATGCACAAATGCTACCACTGAGCCAAGAATTACAGCAAGGGAATTTCCATATATGTAAAGGAAAGAAAGAATGTCTTTGTCTTTTTTTAAGAAAAGGGATTAAATGTCCTGCCTAGAACATTTTATAAAGCCTGTTGATTCAGGAAATAGTTTTGAGAGTTACTTGGCTTAATACAATGCATTCAGTTTCATTTTCCGAGTGATCAAAAACAAATTGAGAATAATTATACATGTAACAAGAAATCTAATTTACACCAAATTTTAATACTGTAAAACATCCCAAGGTATTGCACAAGTATGAAATAAGACACAAATTGACACTGAGCCAAAGAAATCAATATATTGATGCTGGTTTATCATTTGTGTATTACTGATAACTACATCATAGGAAATGTTATAGCTATTGAGAGGAATACAGGATTGTCTGGAGCTTGGAAATGTTAACTGTAGGGAACAACTGAGGAAGTTGCATTCTATCCTTTTCTCAAAATAAATTCAAAATTGATCAAATCAAATTGTTCACTCTGACTGGATTCAAAGTATTTAAAAAAAAACTATTAGTAAATTGGGAATTTATGCAGAACATTTTCACACAGCTTATTAGATTCCTGGATCAATTTAAACACTTTAAGAAATAACATAAATAGAGTTGTTAGATACCTGAAAGAGGAAATTGAAACTAAACATCCAGGACAAGAAGATTGAAATCAGACAAAATATAATGAGCAAATGGGTTGAATGGCCCCTTCACAGACTTGTCCCAGTTTCTTTCTGCCACTGATTCCATAAGAAAATGTTACCACCAAGAAAAGAAGGCTTGTCTTTTGTTGACAAACATCTGACTACAGCTTTGCCTCTTTGTTAGCAAGCTCAAATCGGAGCTAGTTGTTGTGCAATCAAGATCCAGTTGAGAAACATGAGCAACTAACTTCAAACTGACACCATAGTACAGTATTGAGCAAGTGCTACACTGTAGAAGGTACCATCTTTCAAAGAAAACATTAAATGCTGGAACAATCTGTCCTCTTTGTAATAAGAGATCAGTGTCACTGTTTGAAGATGAGCTGGGTTAGTTTTCCAGTGTCCTGGCCTGTGTTTATCCTGCAAGTTATTATCACTAAAACACATTATTCAGTCATGTGACTTGTTGCTGATGGTGTTTTGTTGGTGTGATTTGTTTTTCTGTTATACAGTCAGTACACTTCAAACATACTGAATTGGGATGTTATGAAAGGTGCTATATAAATGCAAGCATTTTCCTTCATTTATGCCCTTCAATCTCATTATCATACTGTGTCCTGAGAATTGCTGTGCTTTCTGAAGAACCTTAAGTCATGTGAACATAATCTGAACTCCTCCATAAACAATAAATAAGAAAGCATTAACCTTTCTCCAACGATTGGGTGAATATTTGAGCTTACTGAAGTTGAGGCTCGTGCGCTTAATCATGATTCCACCATATAATAGCCAGGTACAAACTAAAACACTTCTTCCTGTATTGGTGATCCACTTGTCTTGTTGAGTAAGATAGCAAATTGTGGTGTTTAATTTGCCAGTTACTAGACACTACGCTCATACTACCTTCGAAGTAATTTTGCAAGTGAATTTTGCAACCGGAGATATGATTACGATCTCATCACTGGGTTGGATTTAAACCAAGAGGTGAAAGCACAGTGCAAGCCCATGACCCACTCTTGTGAAAATTGTCTAACATATTATGGCAAAATGGTTTCAAATAGTTGTTTAAGAAATCCAGCACACCACATAACTGTGGTTCATCGATCCAGCCTGTAAATAGATATGCATAGCTTGACTACTGCTTATTGTTGAATTAAAGGAAGTACTCACCACTGTATACGTTTTTGTAACTGCACCGCGGTTCCACACTTCGAGGAAGATGATCAAATCAAATAAATAGGAAGCACTCAATACCTCGACATCGCAGCACTAGAGCAACAGAAGATGTCCTCGTGTAAGTCTGTTAATTTAAAAAAAAAACTGTTCCAGTTTGTTTCTGGTGTATACATGTTTAGCTGTGTTTAATTTATTGCACAAGTTTCCAATACTTGTAATGGTGTGACAAACTGTAAAACAGAGCAGCACCACTGGATCTAAAGATCAAAAAGGGTGGTAAAATTGATAAAACATAGATTTTTATCATACCAATAAAATTTGTAGTAGAAAATTAATGTACTGGTGTGATACACATTGACTATTTTTAGAACTGTGTAGTGTCAAACCATAGCGTCAATATAAAGATTGGATGTATAAAGATATCTTTTAAGTCTTTCTGTCATTTTGACTTTCTATAGTAAATCTTGAAGCATACGGTAAGGTGGGCAGAAAAACTAATTTAACTGTACATTTCCAAAGGTGCTTTTTTTTTTCAGAGCTTGCTTTGTCTCGAGGTATGGTTTCTTCGGTTGGGACTGCTGTTGGTAAAGAATATAGTGACATTTGTGGTTTGCAGTTTTACCAGCCTCTCCAAATTCTGCTGATGCTCAGCATAGGCAAGAGCTTGCAACAAACGTTTGTGTTTCAGGGATGCTGCTTATCAGTTCTCTTGCATCTTTTCCCCATGTGCTATTTCTGAAATCACAAAAATGTTTTTAGCTTAGAACAGTTACAGGAGGAAGAATGGATAACATTTGGCAAGTTAATGAACAATGTAAGATGTTTTGTTCCAAATCTGTAGATTGGACCAGCATGAAAGAATTTTTTTAATAATCACGTGCCTCGGAATGCATTTTTTTTCTTTATCTTTCCCCCTTTCTCCTATCCTCATTCACTTGAAAGTTTTGTTCCATCTTATTTCTGGAACCTTGCCCAAGTTCTTGCACTTTATTTGTCAATCAGAAAATCACTGAATCACATCATCCAGCAGTGGCAGCTATAACAGAGAAACTCATTCTGGACTGCACCTGATACTTTCACAATTGAACAGGGCTCATTGGACAAGCTAGTACTCTAGCAGAGTTTGTTTTGCTCCTTATATTGAAGATACTAAAACCAATTGAAACATATCCACTGCCTTTTGTTTTAAAACTGGCTAATTCAGCACAGAATGGGCATTCAACTAGTTCAATCCTGATCTGTGTGCCTCAGCGAAACTTCATTTAGCACATAACCCACTAAGCCGTTAGAGCGTTCCAAAGGCATTGACTGAAATGGAGTATTGGTTGTTATCAGAGATAGTAGGAACTGCAGATGCTGGTGAATCCGAGACAACAAGGTGCAGGGCTGGATGAACACAGCAGG